AGCCCCTGGGACATCACGATGGTCACCTTGTGGCCACCTGCGAGGCTGCTCCGCCGTGTCTGTGCCGGCCGTGGGTGCGGAGGAGCATGGCCTTTCCTACCCCGCAGGGACGAGGGGAACGCGCGTGCATGTGTGTGTATGTGTGTTTGTGCACGAGGGGTACTATTTAATGTCTATATTAGCACTATCTACACACTAAGGAGCTGGGGTCCTTATATATACTCCATTCCATGCCTTGGCTCGGTGAGCAGAAAGGGGCAAAACGATTTTGCAGGTGGGACAGAGACACCTTACGGGTGTCCCCACGAATCCAGTGGGGAAAGCGGGGCCATCCCTGGCAGACACCTCCCTCCCGCCTCGGCCCCGTCCTTTACGTGGTGCAAAGCCCCGTGCAGCGATTGCCGGGCTGTTCGGGGAGGGGGAACAGCCAGGCTGCTGCTAGCCCAGAGCCGAAGGGGCAAAACGATTTTGCAGGTGGGACAGAGACACCTTACGGGTGTCCCCACGAATCCAGTGGGGAAAGCGGGGCCATCCCTGGCAGACACCTCCCTCCCGCCTCGGCCCCGTCCTTTACGTGGTGCAAAGCCCCGTGCAGCGATTGCCGGGCTGTTCGGGGAGGGGGAACAGCCAGGCTGCTGCTAGCCCAGAGCCGACACGGGCTACGGTGTTGCATAAGCAAAGTCGCCCCGTCCAAAACCCAAAAGATGTTTTGGATTTTTGCGGAGAGCGAGCCGTCCTTCCGGACCGTCTGTCTGCGGGCTGCTTTGGGAGCAGGATGCACCCGAGCGGGAGCCGCTGTCCCCAGGGATGCAGTGGAGTGCTGTGTGCTTCCCCGCACCGAGTGGCCCCGCGTGGAGACGTCACCGGCAGCTGAGCGTTGTCATCCACCCCATGCTGCCAGCCACCGATGAGGCCACACCACGGTGCGCGGTGTCCCCGTCTGTGGACCACACGGCCGGAGGGAGGAGACGGCTCCAAGCGACGGACGGGCAGCAGGTTGGGGATGTGCCCGGGGTATTTTCCTCCCCTTTCGGATTTTGGGGAGCTGTTTCCCTGCTGCCTTTGGGCCCATTGGCAGCTGGATTGCGGGACCGAGAGTGACGCTGTAGATGGGCACCTCTGACACTACCATCACCTCCAGCCCTGCACCTCGCTGCTTGTCCCCAGCCGTCCCGGGGCCGTGTCCCCTTCAGTGTTCGTAATAAACCGAGACTGGTGAGAAGCGGGGCCGTGTTGTTTGTACTGGTAAACTGGAGGGTGGTGAGTGCAGAGACGAGGACTACGATCCAGGGACTGGTCCCAGTGGGGACATGGAGGTCTGGGGATGAGGGAACAGACACCTAGCGAGGTCTGGGCTCTGGGTCTGTGACCAACACACTCTTGGGGACAGATGCCGGAGGCAATGCTCTGCCATGAGGCTGTTTCTGGCGCAGTGCAGGACTCCTCCATGCTGCACAGGGGTCCGACGTGAGCCCTGACCCGGCTGCAGGAGGCACCTTGAGAAGTTTACTAGGAAAAACGTCGTTAGGGGATGAGATTTGTTCCTTCATCCCCTGGCTGATGAAAAAAGAGGAACTCCCCTTTCTCTAAAACTTGTTCAGACTTCATTAGCTCAGACAAAAATATACAGATGTTGGGCGAGCCCGGCTGGTACAGACCAACTCTGTATCTCACTCTCCCTCCCATCCCTGTCAGACCTCCTCCACATAATCCTGCATCCCTCTAAATCAGCAGCACAAATTACCGGTGGCATCTCGCGCATCGTTAAGATGTTTCTCGGGGAAGTCGTGGCCTGCTCTGGGCCATCACCTCCCTCCCAGAAAGTCACTACAAAGGGTGCTCGGTGCCAGGCTCAAGGTTCCCACTGCGGGTGCTGGTGTTTGCCCTTCAGCCACACGCCGGCGGCAGCAGAAAGATCTCCTCGTTGCTGAATCCGGCGGCGCTGGGCGGTGGGATCTCTGGAGCGCGTTGGGACCCTTTCCTCAAACCTGGTCCCCGGGGCAAGCTCCTGGGATCCACCGAGAAGTCCTCGATCCGCCGCAGCCTCCCGCTGCTACCAGAAGGTCCAGGGGGGCTGCATCATTTCGTACGTGGGGATGCTGGTGACGTTGACGGGAATGGAGATGACGGCCCAGGGGAGCCCATGCTGCTCCAGGGAGCGTCTGATCATGTACCTGGAAAGATAAAGGGGTGATGGGCACACCTGAGCCGCCGGAGTGGAGCCCAGACGTGAGCATAAACCACAAACCAGCTCAAAGAGAAACTGCAGATTAATGGTGACTCAATCCACTAAAAATCTGGTTCACTGAGCCCAGGTGGGACATGCTGATCACTGGGACCTCCCTGTTTTGTGGGGACAAGGCTGTCGCTTGGCCCTTCCCGTGAGATGTTTCACACTTGGGAAGATGAGATGTCTGTTGGCCGAGGCACCTACCCATCCCTGCCCAGCAGGAAGAGTGCGGGGATGTCAGCTGTCCGCCTGGTGCTGTCCTGGATCATCTCGATGTAGAAGCTGTCGTTATCGTAGGCGTTATCTGCGATGATCACCGCCCGTCCGCCATGCTCCTGGATCACACGCGTCTTCGACAGGAACGAGCAACCCCTGGGGCAGAGAGCGACAAATCTTTGGTGGCCACAAGCAGATCCTTGGCGGGTACGAAACCTGCAAGGTGCCGAAGCTTGCCTGGAAATGCCCAAACCAGGGACTGTCTCCCTGGCCCTGCGCCTCCCCCAAACCCTGCTCCTCTTTCGAGTCTGTATTTTTGGCACAGGCTGCCCAGATTCTGCCACTTTCTCCTAAGAAAAAATAAAACAAAATAGGGCTTTTTCCAACTTAGTGCAGGCTGTTTTCTAAGAGATGCAACATTAAATGCTCTGGGGTAGGAGCAGCCTTACGTTTTCCTCGTGTACCCACATGGGGTCACGGGAAGAAGCTGGAGGTGATGGTAAAATGGCACTATCACCCGCTGTCCCATGGGCAGCTCTCCTCCTGCCCGAGGGTCTCCCCCAAACAGCTCCCGTGACACCAGACGTACCCCCTCTCCACCAAGGCAATCTGGTCCTGGATGAAGACGCCATTATTCAGCTCTCCGCAGGCTTCCGGGGGATCTGCCGGGACCAGGTGGATCTGCTCGTACCTTGTGTTCTCCGAGAAGGAGACAGGCAGGGGTGAGCGAGTGGGGAATCGGGGCTGCTTCCCGTCCCCAGCCCCACCGCAGCCATCCCCGCTGTCCTGTGCCCTGCTCATCCCCGTGCAGGCTGTGCTTTTGGGGAGATTTAGGGCTCCCAGGGATGCTGGCTGCCCCTTTCCAGCCTCCGCAGAGCCATCCCGACCTTGCTCAACAGCTTGTCTAGATCTTGGTGTGACCACGGGGAGGGGAAACTGAGGCACGGCACTGTCTGTACATACAAGTGCTCCTGGGGAACATGTGCAGAGCCAGAAAGCGTCTTTCCACATGTTTCCTAGCAGATCTGCTCCTGCATCCCCATCCCGACCCTGAGTTTATTCAGGGAAAGGTCTCACATCTGTAGACCAGTTGGTTTATCTCTGCTGTTCCCCATGGGAGCCCGACCAGCCCTCCTCGGACATGGCTGTGCCTGTCAGCCCTTGGAGGAGGAAAGCGTGGCCTTGGAGGAGGAAAGAGGGGGGCATGTGCTCCCTGGACACACGTGGGACCAAACTCCCCCTCGGAAAGCCTGCTGAGACCCAAGGCAGGGACCAGCGTGTGCCATCTTCCTAAGGGAAGGTTCACGGAAGAGCAATTAGCTCCATTTTTATAAAAGGCTTCAAATCACCAGGCCCTGCAGTGGAGAAATATTAGGATGGGGGGACCCAAGACAAATTCAGTTCTTAATACTTACAAACACACCACCAAAATCCTTGGCCGGAGTGGCGGTGAAGATGTAGCGGATGTCTCCAGGGCTCAGCACTTGGAAATACAAGTATTCATGGATGCGTAAACCTGGGTGTGCATGGAGAGAGGCGAGAGGCAGAGAAAACAAAAGGAAAAATTCCTGAAAAAAAGGGAAAATACCCAGCTACCTCTCCTGAACTGCACCACGCTGAAGGGAACGCACCCTTTGGCAATGCCAGCTCCTGGCCGGGCCCCGGGGCCGAGGACCCAAAATTCTGGGTTCAGCTGCGAGGGGAGATGCACCAGCACCCAGGAACACAGGGGAGACGGGGGAAAGGCACCGGAACCGGGGTGCACAAAGGGAAGGGGAAAATATAGCCGGACCACGGAGGGGATAGGGGTGACACGCACCCAGATCGAGGTGCACAGAGGGGAAAAGTGCTTGGACTGAGGCACCCTGAAAAGAAATACACCTGGGATGGGATGCTGGGTGGGGAAATGCAATGGGGCTAGGGTGCCCCAAGGGGAAATGCACTTGGATTGGGGTGTGGCAGGGGAAATGCAATGGGGCCAGGGTGCACTGAGGCGAAATGCAGCTGGATTGGCGTGTTGGATGGAGAAATATAACGGGCTTGGGGTACATGGAGGCAAATGCACCCAGATTGGGGTGCACGGGCAGGAAGGGAAATGCAATGGAGCTGGGGTGCAGTGATGGGAAATGCACCCGGATTGGGGTGCACGGAGGGGAAATGCAATGGAGCTGGGGTGCAGGGATGGAAAATGCACCCGGATTGGGGTGCATGGAGGGGAAATGCAATGGAGCTGGGGTGTAGGGATGGAAAATGCACCCAGAGTGGGGTGCAGGAAGGGAAATGCAATGGAGCTGGGGTGCAGTGATGGGAAATGCACCCGGATTGGGGTGCAGGAGGCGAAACGCACCCGGATCGCTGTGCACGGAGGGGAAATGCAATGGAGACAGGGTGCAGCGAGGGGACATGTAGCTGGATTGGGGTGCACGGAGGGGAAATGCAATGGAGACAGGGTGCAGGGAGGGGACATGCACCTGAATCGCGGTGCACGGAGGGGAAATGCACGTGGATCGCGGTGCATGGAGGCAAGACGCACCCAGATGGGGCCGTAGGACGGGAAATGCACCCAGAACGAGGTGCTGGATGGGGAAATGCAATTAGGTCGGGGTGCACCGAGGGAAAGCGCACCTGGATGGCGATGCACCAAGGGGAAATGTACCCGGACTGGGATGCAGGAAGGGAAATGCAATAGGGCCGGGGTGCCCGAAGGGGAAATGCACCCCAATCGGGGTGCAGGAGGGGAAACGCAACCG